TTTTTTTTTTTTTTAATTTTTAAAACTTTATCCAAAAGAAAGAAAATTACACTCACTGCTGTAAGGAAAACAGTAAGTCAGAGCTCAGATGATTACAGACATTGTGCTTTCTGGGGATTTAACTCCTGAGTGTCCTGTCTTCATCCCTACTGCCTCTGCTGTAGTGGTTCACCACCACCCCAACACTTTTCTAACCTGGGGTAATGTAATTACCTTTCAACTACTCTCTTTGCCCCCAGGGGTGCTTGTGAGGGAAACTGCAGAATTTCCAGAATCTCCTGTTGAGCCTTAGTTCAGTTACATATCAATAGGTGTTTACCACTGCACAGCCTCCCTTCTATCCAGGCCAAGATGTGGACAGGAAAACGGCATTTCTCTCCTCCCCTCTGTTCCTGGTACATAATTGGTCTGGCATATGCCAGTCATCAAGAACCCACCAATGGAGCTCCTCCCAGAAGGGGCAGGCAGGGAGTAGAGAGGGTGTTGTGAGGGCAGAGTGTGAGCAGTGGCTGGAGGACACAGGGCTGGGCCTAGCTAACGAACGAATTTGCGCAAGATGTGAACAATAAAATGGTTTCTCCCAATATACCCTTTCCCTTGACTTACTTTGGTTTCACCAACTAATTCCTATCTTTTAAAGGCAAGGGATTTTGCTTTTGCTTTGTACAGATAAAACAATCACATCGCTCTTTTGTACTGCATTCATTATTTCATCATTTCATCTACCACTTGGTACCATAGCTATTTTTAAGTAATTGCCCGACTTTGTCTACTGATCAACACAGTGGCTACTTTGAGAACATGAGTTAGCCACCTCTGGACTATAGGTGCCTGACACATTAGTAGGTTTTCAGTAAATGCTCTTTCTTTTTCTAAATTGTTGATGCATGGCTTGTATTCATTAACCAAAACCAGAAACTTAGAAAAATCTTTTTGGATTTCATTTGGAATTTAGCTTTTGTTTTGTTTATATTTCATTTCTTAAAAAAACCTCTTTGTGTATTCCTTCATGCACTCAATAATGATTAGCTACTATTTCCTCTTCTAATACAAAACAAAAATTGCTAGGTGGCTAATATAATTTATACATTTATTTTGGCTCTTAGGATACACTACTATGAGTAAAACTCACCACTTCACCTTTATAAAAAAAATAATCTTACAATTGTAAGAGAAGCTATATCTGAAGGGTCCCCACCAGTAAGACGGCAAACTTCTGGCTTCTCTTCGGGGTCCTCAGTTCCCGCCGGCGCCACCTGAAGCCCAATCACCTCT